AAGAAATCAGATAAAGAAGCTGAATTGAAAAGGCAAAAATGGACCCAGATGTAATAGCAGAAAGTTGGCTACTTCTAAGACTGGCATAACACAGGAAAGAGGTTGGAGTTAGCAGAACCTAGAAGCTTGGGGGAGAGCCTCACAGAGCTGGGACTCAGACCCCGGAATAAGGGGCACTGCTTGTGTTATTGGTGCCTCTGACACGTGATGAGGCTACTAGTTCTGGGGAGGGTTAATAAAAGCTGGAGACTGGAACCAACTGCCGCTGCCAGAGTTAAGGACCAGGCTTACACAGTGACTAGGAAATACACAGGAAGGAATAAAGCTCTTGTCCCTCTAGTCGCCAACAAAGGAAAATGTTATGTGCTGTTAGGCCCAGCGTCACCTGGAGTAGAGTAAAGCTAACCCTAACCCTGCATAGGCTGTTTGCCTCACCAGCTGCCTCTGCCTTTCTGACTTCATTCGCATCTCTGTCTACTCAGCTCAGTAAGAGCACGGTGCTCTGCTGAAGAGTTCTTCATAAGTAACTTCTACACTTGTGTTCTGATTTTTGGTATAGTCAGTTTGTGTTTTTGTATGCATTAGGTTGCCAACTTTCTAGTATTTACTCAGTATTTGTGGTCATTCTGAAGCAGATAAATTCCAGCTACACTGAATCATTCATTTGTGCCTCATTTCTTTTCCTATCCCATTAGCTGATTTTTCTGTTTTTTATAACTATAATTCTTCTTTTGAAACTTTGTCATCCTTTATAAGTCATTTCTTCTGGGAGCATGTTCAGATTTCCAGTATGGTTGTGTATGTGTGTTTTATTCCTGTTAGACTGCCAGCTGTAGACTAGCTGCTGGGATGACCATGCATTCTGAATGAGGAAATTGTCAGTCTGATGTTTTGCAGCTGAGGTTCTCCTTTCTTACTGCTCCACTGTGAACACCACAATTCTTAGTTAGATTAAAGCTGTTTTGTATCTTTCTAGGAAAAATTTCCACTATGAAGCCTTGATAAGCTCTTCTCTCACTGTCTTTTGTTTGAGGAAAGAATCCACTAAAAATAGTAAACCAGTTTTGGTCAAGAGAGCCTCAGAAATGTTCTTTTTTTTTTTTTTTGGACAACCTCAAACTCTTGGGCTTATGTGAATCTCTTATTTCAACCTCCCAAGTAGCTGGGACTACAGGTGCCTGCCACAACACCTGGCTATTTTTTGTTGCAGTTGTCGTTATTGTTTAGCTGGCCCAGGTCAGGTACTAACACGCCATCCTCGGTGCATGTGGCCAGCACCGTAACCACTGTGCTGTGGGCACCACGCCTTGAGAAATGTTCTTAACACAAAGAAATGACAAATGTCTGAGTAGATGGATACCCCAATTATGCTGATTGAAATTACCATTGTATGCCTGTATTAAAACATCACATGTGCCCCATAAAGATGCATCACTATTATGTACTCATAATAATTTTAAAAAGAAAACAAACCCCGAAAACATTAGAGATATGAGACATGGCGTCCAACTCAAATCCCAGAGGTGGCTGTTCTGGGGCAGTCTGGTTCGTATATCCTATTTGTTAGTCCATAGGTGGTTATTGAAGGGGACGAGAAATATTTAACTATGTGACTCATACAAAAAAATGCACGTTCATTTAATTCTCACAATAATACTGTGAGGTGTGAATGTTGCTTCTTTTATAGAAATTCTGAAAGGATAAGTACATCTTCAGAATCATAATATGAAATAATCCCTGGAAGATGTGTATTTCAGAAGTATGATGGTGACTTTTAATTTCAGAGGTAGCAACATGTTAGACGTGAAGATAAGCCCAGACTAAGCACATGTGAAGCAAAGGGCAGTGAATTAAAAACCAGCAGCGAGCATATCGTGGGATCTACTGGAGGTAGTACATGAGGCTATAAGTTACTTGAGGAATTAGTACCGCTATCATCTTTTCAGAAATCAAACTTTATCTGAAGGAAGTTACTTGTCGATTACTTCTTGTAATTACTTTTTGAAAGCCCCAACAGATTATGTTCCAATTAATTATCATTGTAGATTCTTCATTTTCTCTTTAGTATATGAGTAACTACAATGTTCTAAACATAGTACAAGGAGAATATTTCTAAATATTGGCACATTGTGTATGTTTTTTTCAGCAATTGGTAGCAAGGCCTTCCAGTATGAGCTATATGGTGGCTCCTGTAACTGGTAATGATGTTGGAATTCGTAGAGCAGAAATTAAGCAAGGGATTCGTGAAGTCATTTTGTGTAAGGATCAAGATGGAAAAATTGGACTCAGGCTTAAATCGATAGATAATGTAAGTATTTTTAATATCCATTTGAATTTGTTTAAGTGACTAATTGTAAAGTAATTTGAAATGGAAATACTTTAGTTATAATGGTGCATCTGTCATTGAGAATATTTTAAATCTAATAACTTAAATTTTGTTCACTTAGAGATCCCTATTTTGAGGAGGCAGAGTTGGGACTTCCAGCTCCATTACTTTGAAAGATTATTTTCGATTTTGAGTATTCTAACTAGAGTAAAGGTCACTGGTCTACAAATACTGTGACAGTTTGTATATAGAATGCTGGCACTGAAATAGGGCAGCATAGTGTAACAGACAAGTGACAGAAATCCCGTCAAAGTTAAAAAATTGACAAGTGAGAATTGATCTGTGTTCATATGTAAATCAATTAACTAGAGATGGTTTTGCAGATTTGTTATTTCTATCTTTCAAATTTGAATTTAACAGGTCATTTTCTAAGCAAGAATATCTTTCTAATTAGGGCAACCAGTACTTTCCTTTTAGTTTACCTCTCACCTTACCATACTGAAGATGTGAGACAGTGTTACTCTCTGAGAATCCATTTATAATTGTTAAGGACCTGCTGGGCCTTTACCTTGATTTATAGTTTTAGCTATTACCTTATTGGATTCTGTTTCAGTCTTAGATGTCATTAGCTCAATGTGCCCATCTTTCCACACAGAAAATTATGTAAGTATATTATATTATAAACCAACACTGCTCTAAATGGATGAGACAACCCTGCCTGCCTGTGCTGGGGGCTGAGGACATAGATGTCTTTGCTCATGCTTGGTTGGGAAGCTCTGAAGTGGATGCTTCTGCCCCTTCTGCCATTGTTTCTCTTCTGTTCTCTCCTGTGTCCTAAAGAGGAAAGATACTTTGCATAGACCCCTTGGCCACATTGTGGGTGTATTCACTTGGCTAAAGCACATTGGTTCATTTGTAGGGTGCTACCTACCGACAGTGCAACAGGCATGTGATAGAATCATGTCTGACTCAGCAGAGGATTGTGGAAAAGGTCTGGCCTTATAGATGTGAAAAAGGTCTGGCCTTACAGATGTGTTTATGCTTTACAGGCCTACACTTTTGTTATACTTGCCTGTTTTTATTTTGTTCAACGTCTGATTGAGAATTTACGTAAGTAAAAATACTCATGTGGGTTTAGTTCTTAGTATTTTGAGTTTTCTGTTTGTAGTATATTCTTTATAAGCTCACTCGTGTATTTAAAGTGCCCATCTTTTTAAGCTGTTACATAAACCAGAATCTTATTAGATTATGCATAATTTAGCAAATAAGCAAAGAAATCTTTCATTTTTAAAGGTAGGGTTAATGACTTTAAACTATAAAAGAGCTTAACAAACTTGTAATAATTTGATTTGTTTTTCCCTGAAAATGATCATGTACCAGTTATTTCGTATTTTATCAGACACATAGAAGCTTGTATTTATTCATGCTGTCCTAATTTATTTTTCTTAGTCTTTTTATTCCAAGATGAAAGGAGTGATTGAGATTGGTCAGGTGGATCATGAGTTGAGGTAGAAATTACCACTGAGATATCACTGTATTTCCTCATTCTTTGGAGTTATTGCCTTGATAGATTTTTTTTGGTTCCTTGGTAACAACACATGTAATTTTTCTTTTTTTTTTTTTCCTATTACTAGGGTAGATTTCTAACATAACACTTATTTCCTAACTTAGCAGCATTTTTAAGCTGTATCATAAAGTGGTGAATGACCAAATATATTTACTTATTATCTAGGGTATATTTGTTCAGCTGGTCCAGGCCAATTCTCCAGCCTCTTTGGTTGGTCTGAGATTTGGGGACCAGGTACTCCAGATCAATGGTGAAAACTGTGCCGGCTGGAGCTCTGATAAAGCACACAAGGTGCTCAAACAGGCTTTCGGAGAGAAGATTACTATGACCATCCGTGACAGGTAAGCCATCACTAGACAGCTCACATGGTAATTCAGGACTGTTCTCCATTTTCTTGGACTTTCAGGACTCTGTAAGTATAGTTTTTAGTTGTAAAAAATGATCAAATGGTATTGATGGGCTTTATAGTCTCGCGGTTGTATGGTGTTGATTTTTTTTTACATAGTGGAATTTGTTTTTAATACCCACTTTGTTTCCGAGTTTATGGGACTTTGGCCTCTATCTTTCTAGAAAATGTATGTTGGAAAAGTAACAAAGTAGCGAGGCATCCTGGCCTTACTTTCCAGCCTACTGTTCTGGTACTTCTAGCCTCGAGGTGCACACAGTGCCAGGTCCCTGGTGGGGTCAGACTTTGCACACAGGACTCCAGTGTGAGAGTTATGAAAACCCAGTCTGGTTTTGTGAGTATTTATGAAGCAGTAGTTGTCATGAAGATGGGACATTCTGTTTAGCAGTTGGTTCCTTTATAACTTTTAAACATTTAGCATATGAAATATGTATGGGTCTTTATTTTCTTGCTTCGCCCCTGTGGTTCAAGGGCAGCCTGTATCATGTTACAATAAAATATGGGGTTATTCTCAGCTGTTAAGCTTTTGTTTTATTCATCTTTGTGTTTCTAATTTCTCATATAGGTAGCTATTTAGTAAATGTTTTGTAGATTAGTGTCATTTTTACTTTTCATCTAAGCAGAGTTTCAAGAGTAAATGGGACCAAAAGAAAGATAGGGCTATTCTGAATGTTATAATGTAAACATAGGGTTATCTTAAAATCCTGTGATGCCATGACAGAGTTGTAGAGAAGCAAGTGAGACTGCTTTTGAGAGTAGGCACTGGCAGCCTTTAAAAATAGCTGCATGCCGTCCTTTCTAAAGGGATGGAGGAACTTGTCTTATTGTTGCCATAGTTCTTTTAAAATACAGCAAAAAAGAATCTATAAACATTTTAAAATCAAGATGTGGGAAATACTATAAAAGCTCTGAATAATGTCTGCTAAGAACAGACTTTAGAAGATACTAAGAGTTAATAAAAAGTAAACAATTTGATATTTTTAATACTTTGAGTTCAAAGCCTATTCTGAATGCTAAGGTCTGATGAGTTTTAGAGGAATGTCCTATTTATAAAACTGCATGAAACATTGTGTTCACTTGTCTCAAGGAAATCTTAATTAGTCAAGTCGCAATGGATAGATATTTTTTAAAAAATGTTTTACACAAAGATGTTCTGTGAACGTATAATTACCAGAGCCTGCTCTTAGTAAATCACTTAGCATTTATGATAGTGAAGTATCCGGTTTGGCAGGATTTATATACATGAAATCCATTAAAATGTTTACCTCAGAGTGAAGTTTTTAGGTGAACCCATTTGTTTATAGGCCTTTTGAACGGACAATCACCATGCACAAGGATAGCAGTGGACATGTTGGCTTTATCTTTAAAAATGGAAAAATAACATCCATAGTCAAAGATAGTTCTGCAGCCAGAAATGGTCTTCTCACGGAACACAACATCTGTGAAATCAATGGGCAGAATGTCATTGGATTGAAGGTGAGGAGCAGATCTCAGCCTTGTCTGCACAAGTGTATACACTGTCTGTCAGTGTAATTACAGCTGATGTCTCTTTCCTTTGACTATTTGAGTGGCACTATTTTCCTGTTGACCTCCAAAATATAGAAACTTGGTAGGAGATGCAGGCGTGGGACCTGGGCTCAGGCTCTGGCTAGTTATGGGAATTATCTGGGCTATTATTTGGAGTTAAAATTCCGGTAATGACTAAATGATCTCTGGAGTCCCTCAGGCTAGAATTCTATGGTTACATATAAGCAGTGAAGATTTCGATGACATTCTGCATGTTATTAGTACTTTGTTTTTATAGTTTCCCTTTACAAATTCTTTTTTTTTTTTTTTTTTGAGACAGTGTCTCCCTACTTTGCCCTGTATAAGAGTGCTGTGGCGTCACAGCTCACAGCAACCTCTAACTCTTGGGCTAGGCGATAATTTGCCTCATCCTCCCAAGTAACTGGGACTACAGGCACCCGCCACAAGGCCTGGCTATTTTTGATTATTGTTTGGCAGGCACAGGCTGGATTCGGACCCACGAGCTCTGGTGTATGTGGCTGGCGCCCTAGCCGCTGAGCTATAGGCGCCAAGCCCCTTCACAAATTGTTAAATAAGTCTGTGTTAAGATCTAAAGGTTTTATTTAATTAAGACCTGCCCATTTCATAAATTTCAGTTTCAACTACATGGTTAACTGAGAGGATATGGTAGTATTGCATGTGGGGAAATTAATCTTCAGTAATGAAAGAGAAATTTTTTTGTCTAATACATTCATCTCAGTTTACTTAGTAATTTAGTTACCAGGTATAAAATTGTGTTCCTATAGAATTAAACTTGGTAAGGAAAATTAGATATTTCTGATCGAAATGCCAAAGTTAGGATCTTAGAGATATTAGCAAAATGTAGTGGGGTATACAGTGTGTATTTCTTTACCAAGAATAACATAATTTTATGTTTATTAAATAATCCCTCTGGAATTAATTGTTAATGTGTGTTGTTTATCAGGACTCTCAAATTGCAGACATACTGTCAACAGCTAGAACTGTAGTTACCATTACAGTCATGCCTACTTTTATCTTTGAACATATCATTAAACGGTGAGTAGACAATTCATCCTGATGCATGTGATTGTGTGACTTAAAGCACTGTAACTTCTTTTAATTCTGAAACCTTTGAGTTCTTTTACTTAACAAATTATACTGTTGTTTATCTAGAAATCTGAAGTAAATTATTTCTTTCTTTTTTTTTATTAAATCATAGCTGTGTGCATTAATGCAGTCAGGGGGTACAATGTGCTGGTTTTATATGTAATTTGAAATATTTTCATCAAACTGGTTAACATAGCCTTCATGGCATTTTCTTAGTTATTGTGTTAAGACATTTATATTCTACATTAATAAGCTTCACATGTACCCTTGTCATGAAGTAGATTATTTAAATTAGAGTAATTGGTTGGTAAGGATGAACCCTCACAACTTCCCAAAGATGGAATTAAATTTACCATACATACACTTAATTTTGATATTGCCTAGTAGAAAAAAGGCATCCAAGCAGAGGTGGGCATGTTTCCAGCTTTCAGTTTGCAGTACATTCACTACAGGTGCGTTCTGCCTACTGCCTCTCTGCTCAGCGTAAATCTAGTCATGGGGTTTATATGGAGTTTTCTTGCCAGGAGGATATTAGAAGTAACAGTTGACCATTTTCTTCAGCATCTCAGGATGCCAATAGAAGTGTGAGCTGTGCGGTGTTATGTCCTCAGGAACTGAGGGTTGGAAAGCTGAGAGAGAGGAATTTTTTTTGAGACGGAGCCTCAAGCTGTCCCACTGGGTAGAGTGCCATGGCATCACGCTCACAGCAACCTCCAACTCCTGGGCTCAAATGAGTCACCTGCCTCAGCCTCCCAAGTAGCTGGGACTACAGGTGCCCGCCACAACGCCTGGCTATTTTTTGGTTGCAGCCGTCATTGTTGTTTGGCGGGCCTGGGCTGGATTCGAACCCGCCAGCTCAGGTGTATGTGGCAGGTGCCTTAGCTGCTTGAGCCACCGGAGCCGAGCCGAGAGAGGAATTTTGAAAAGGAACAGGGTTGCTTTTTCTAAAGCTTTTCAAATCCTAGCTTCTGTTGATGGTTTTGGTCAAGCCAATTTAGAATCCTCCTTTCAGAATCTCTTATGTGGGAATGAGATTTAAAAGATTCCTAAACATAACACTTAAAATTTTTGTTTGTGTTGGCTTTTGGATAGCACATAATTAGTTACTGTTTGAGAAAAAGGTTATTGTCTGACTCAGTGCCCATAGCACAGTGGTCACGTTGCCACCAAATGCACCAAGATTGGCGGGTCTGAACCCAGCCCAGGCCAGCTAAACAAAAATGACAACTGCAACTAAAAAATAGCCGGGTGGTGTTGCCGGTAAGGCAAGAGAATTGCTTAAGCCCAAGAGTTGGAGGTTGCTGTGAGCTGTGATGTCACAGTACTCTACAGAGGGTGACATAGACTCTCCAAAAAAAAAGGTTGTCAGGATTAATTGTTCTAGAATTCTCAGTGTTTTTAATGAGTCCTTCCTCTTCCCATTTTTTCCCAAGTCACACCACAGCCCTGTCATTTTCTTTTTTTAAATCGTGAGCTTTAATGTACAGACTCATTTGTATCCTGTGTAACTTTTCTAGCCCAGATACAGATAACTTTTTGCACTAAGTATCTAGATTTTAGTGACAGTCATCAAATTTAATGACAGTCACCACAATCTCAACTAGAGATTCCCAGAGACCCTGAGATCATTTAAAATACTTCCTCTTCTCCCCAAGTCTTACTTGATGCGAACACATTGCTAAATTGGAATTGGCATTTTCTTGGTTTAACATAACATTTTTGAAAAAAAATAAATAAACAATGTCAGTATTTAATTAAATATGCGTCTCTTGTAGGATGGCGCCAAGCATTATGAAAAGCCTGATGGACCACACCATTCCTGAAGTTTAAAAGTCTTGGCACAACACAATGCAGCTGACCTTTCCAGTTCCCTTCTTTGGCAACTTCCGTACTCTGCACATGAAGCTTTCCCAGGGCCGTGAGCACCTGCTGCATGAGGACCTCTGTTTCATGGGATGGCTGGGAATCTAACCGGCTCATCTGATAACTGTTCAGATTTCAAGATAGTTGTAGCCTTACCCTGGTTTTACAGATGTGAAACTTTCAGATTTACTGACTTTCCTAGCATAGTTTCTCTACTGGAAAAACCTGATGCTTTTACAAGCCATTGTGGTTAGGATGACTGATCTGGGCTTAGTTTTGTGTGATAAACAGTCAACTCCTACGTCATGAGTAGTGCTGTTCATATTACTTTAGTTCTGTGGTGTATTTGCATTTTTAACATGTAACCAAGTACATTTAGAATGATTGCCTTTGATAGTGTTTTTTTTTAGTTCTGTTTGTGTGTGTAAAATACCGAGTAAGAACACTGGTTTCATTCCATGTAAGCATTATATAGGCGTGTGTAGATTGCAAGAGGCTGTGATGACTGTCATTAAATTTTAACTACCTTCACTTACTATGCTTGAACTGTCGCCTTAACTATGTTAACCATCTAGACTAAAAGCCAAAATGTAATTATTGCTGCCTTTCTAAAACCTACCATGTAGTTCTGTCTTAAACCGAAATGTACTCTAACCCAGACTATGGAATGGTACTTCCTGAGCTACTGTAGCATAGCTGCTTACTTGCATTTGAGATTTTCTAGTCAATGCATAATGGAAACAAAGATTCTTTCTTATAAAAGTTGCCAGTATCAATTTCTGAGAAATGAATTGCTATATATATTTAATGTAAAAATTCTTATGCTAACTAAATGGGATGAACTTTTGAGTCCTGTTTTTCATTTGTAGATTAAGTGGGATAGTACTTAATTTTGGCATTGAATCTTAACATTATGTAATCCAGCTACTTTGGGATTGTCTTAGAATGTTTTCCTGGTAATCTGCTCCATTTCCTGTCTCCTCCCTGTAAACAAAATGGCAGTGTGACACTTTATTCTGATTGTTTTCTTCTTTTTGGTTTATGTCTATTCTATTTTAATTAAATATGTGTAAGTAAATTTTAGTCTGTTATTGCATCATTTGCAAACTCTTGTCAGTGGCTTTCACCAAACTTGTGCACGACCTAGAAGACAGTTCACTTCCACGTGTGGCGAGGTTACCTCCCAGGGAAGCTGCCATCCAGCAGCCTGTGGCCTGACAGCGTCTGAGCACATGTGGGCAGTGTGCAGGCCTGAGGGGCTGGTGCACACTCGGGTACCTGCCATGAAGCAGGAACTCACTGAGGCTGTTGATTGTCCCTGGCGACACTGGAACCTGTGTAATAAAACTTATAATTGACTTTGAAAATTCTATTACCATGGTCTGATTCAAGTTTTCTCTTTTATGTAATACTGCGTGCAAGATGTAATGATGTTTTTAAAGAATATAGAAAAAATTTTAAATCACCTAATTATTGTGGCTCAAGAGGTTGACTATAAAAGAAAATCAGCACTACTGCTATATAGGTTGTTTGAAACTTAGAAAAAGCAAACCAGAACATTTCCCCGTTTGATTACCTACTTTACTATCAACTTGCGTCTGAAGATAGTTTCAAAGGTAATGTACGACATTGACATCGCTAAGTATGATTTTCTAGAGGAATCAATAATTGTGGTCTTAAAAGCTACTAGTCTTATAATTAGTTAAATAAGAAAATGGAAGCTGCTTTCATTACAGAAAAATATTTTTAATGTAGAAAAGATGAGCAATTAATAGCTATAATGAAATACAACTGTTCCTATACACAGTAAGCTTACTGTCATAAGAACTGCAAATTCTCCCCAGGTTCTTAGAATCTGGGTAAGGCATTATAGAAAGTGACCACTTCATGAAAACACACATACCCAAAAAACCAATGGGCGGCAATTGTGGTGGATTAGGAAGACAAAATGGTGACTCAGAAATAGTAGAAATTACTGCACTTCTTTTGGACAATTCTTAATTGTTCAGTACTTACTGATGAGTTTCCCCAGCCCAGTTTACTGTCTCTCAGCCACTCTGCTGCCCAGTCCTGTCTTCTAACCACCATCACATTGCGATGATCGTCTGCCCTACAAATGTAATGTTTTCTCTCTAACACTGCCATGTTTTATCTGCCTTAAGAGAACAGCAACTAATGGCTTTCAATGAAGTCACATGATTTAGAATGGTCAAAACCACAAAGTTTTCCATATGGTAGAACTTGTAATTACTATCATTGCACATTCATCAGTTCATTTAAAAGTTTGGTTTTAAAATACATTAGAGTTCAATTTGATATTCAAGAGAGGAAAAGGCACTTAATACTGCAATTTCCAGAACACAATCTGTCTGTCTTCCCCTCCTGTGATGACACTGCTGCACTGTTCATTCATCCATATACATGTAACAGCACCTGAGAGAGAAAGAGGTGGTGATTAGGTGGAGAGTGACAGCAGGCAGCCCAAGACGACTATGATGCTCCCTCTGGCTTGCTATTCACTTACTAAAGCAGTGAAATTAGTTCTACTTTGTCTTATCTCTATAATAAAATCCGTACGTAAATTAAAAAACTGCTTGGTATAAAGAATTATGAGGAATAAACAATTTAAAGCTAAAACTAGGAATTATGGATACAGAACAGAATACAAATATCTAATCCCAGTAAAATGGTACAATCTGACAAGTCAGGAGACGGAAGGGAGGGTAAGGTGGGGAACTGGCAGAATTTACTGCCTTTTACATGATAATTGAAGCTACCAAATTGAGAAAAAGTCGCAGAATTTATAAGGTAGAAACATAAGAAATAGCCATATGAAACTGAGTGATGGGAGAATGATAGGAAGCTTCTCTCACAGAAATAAGACACTAGAATGAAAACCCAGGTCCTCCAAAAATGATCAGGAGGAAAGCACGAAGATGTACGTATTATCTTGTGAATCTCGGGACATACTAGATGTACACACATTATCTAGTGAATCTTGGGACATACTACTAGATGAAGAAACAGAACAACGGGCAGAGCGTGGCTACATGATACTTTACAAGTTACTCAGTTTCACACACAGGACCCTCTCCAGAAGACACAAGCAGGACACACCCGGGGACGAGTCAGGGTGGGAGGAAGCCTTTGTTTTTATTGTAATTCATTACTTTTATACTGTTTCTAAGCTTTTTACTGTATATTAAGAAAAAACTTTTAACAGCATTACCATGGTTTTAATTCTCTATGTGAAAGTTAACATAAAGACTTCCTTTCTTGAAGTCAATGTCAACATAAATCTAAATCCTGAACACCCTAAAGGTGCAGATCACCTGGCCGACCACAGATGCTCAAGGAAATGTCCACACCTGGAAAAGTCCAGGGGTGTTTTCTAACTGAGAAAAGCGCGCTTCCTGATGAAAAAGGCAGGTTCGAGCTCAGTGTCGGGGAACAAAGAGTGAGGCACAGGCAGTAGCTGCTTACCCGTGTGGCCCTGTATTCTCTCACTGAGTTTTGCTCCAAGGAGGTCCCAAACAAGCAATTCACCAGACTGACTTCCAGATAAAACAGAATTTCCATCCCAGATAAAGCACCTGCAGGAATGAGTTTAGAAATACCCATTTCATCATCAGGAATGGAGGGATATGTTACACTGGCCAGTCAACATAAGCCTGAGTGAAGCAAGCTCTACCTCTGGGGCTCCTCTGACGTCAGAGAGGAGATGAGCGTCCCCGTCTGCACGTCGATTACGTTGACACAGCCATCTGCTCCTGTGCTGAGGACATGGCGACCATCTGCAACACAAGGTAAGGCTCACGTGTGGGTCACAGCTTCAGAATGGGTTTAGACGATGCTGAATTTTTTTTTCTGAATCCACTGGTCTAATCACTTTCTTTCCTTGAGATGATTGTACTTAAGTAATTTAACCATCCTCACCTTGAAATGCTTCTGTTTGTTTCTAACACACTGGGATGAAATTATACATCTGATAAATTAATTTCTCTAATGACTTGAGGGATTAAGAAAAATCTCCAATCTTGCTTTTCCATGAGGCATAAATGCCTCAAGTGTTCTGCCAGGAAGCAGCCTTAGCTCTTTTATCAGGAGAGTGCTTTTCTCTTTGTAAATTTTATTGTATACTTCAAAATTAATACTATTGTTTATCTCAAACTCCAGATGTACCCAGTATCATCCGAAAGGGTAATACGTACCTGGGCTAAAAGCAGTATCAAATACAATCCCTGAGTGACATGGAATCTGGTGCAATAAGGTGGCTGTTGAGAGGTCCCAGATATTCACTGTACCTTCTTTGGTGCCAGAAACCAACAGTGTGCTTGCAGCATTTAAATTGATTGTGTCTACCTATAGAGGAAAACACATCAATAAATATTCCACTCAGAATTATGGTCATTAGCTACATTTCTCTAGACTGATTAAAATATGTGATCATAATGATCCAGATCAAATGCCACTGTGCAGTGTGCTGGTGTAGCCAATGCAGCTGTGTTTTGACATCCTCCTTTTGAATGATAATTCATTTAAAAATGAAATCAATGGGTGGCACCTGTGGCTCAAAGGAGTAGGGCGCCAGCCCCATATGCTGGAGGTGGTGGGTTCAAACCCAGCCCCAGCCAAAAAAAAAAAAAAAAAAAAAACTGTAAAAATAAAATTAAGTTCTTCAGATGCTAGGGAATACAAATAGAAATGAAAATGAAGTATTGCTGAGGTGAATGTAATACCATCTTAAAATAGCTTAAAACTGACAGAATAAAGTCTATAATTTATTATTTACGGAGTTCTGAATAAAAAATTGTAGTGTGGTAAGTGCCAACTGCCTGACGCACAGTCGATCCGTGATCATTTGAGGGATTGGGGGAGGCTCTCAAGGTTATACTTATATACCATCATGAATTCCATATTCAATATCTCTCAGTCCCAGTTTATCTGAAGACCCTGACAATTAGGAATCAACACATCATCAGAGAAGAGGCAACACTGAATTACAGCACGAGACACAGCACTGACCCCGTGAAAACAGAGCCAGCAGGTGGCACGCCCTTGGTCATCCACACAGCAGCTCACCGTCCCTACTGTCCCATGGGCATCTCAGGCAGACCCCCAACCCCCTTCTGGGTCAGTAAACATGAAAGGCGATGTGTCCCATCTTGTTTCCCCAAAGAGCATGAGAGCACCCAAATATTCAACATCTGCCCACAAATTAATAATTTTGGAAATCTAGTTAGATGATAGCTAATTCTCAGATGTGCAAAGACACTAATTGGAGAAAAAAAAAAGTAGACTGGCAAACCTAAAGAGTCAACCCAAAGAAAAGAAAATATTATCTCTAATAAGCCAGATAAAGCAAAGGAACAGTTTTAAACAGACAAAAGCAAGAGCACCCTCCCCTCCACTCCCCTGGACTTCCAAGTTCAAATTTGTGCAGTTGGGTCGCTGGTACTCACACTGACATCATGTTCCAGCTCAGCCAGCAGGTCAAAGTGGTGTCTTTTAGTGCCCGGCATCTCTGCAGGAACACCAGACCACACCTAGGATGAAACACATTGCAGGTGTTTTCAAATATTTAATATAAAATTACTTCCAATGTTTTCAGGAAAAACTCTCAGGCAATTTCCATTTAACAAACTTGTCAGTAAAGTTAAGCTGAATAATGCTCCACTCCTCCTCCCCAGGGCCTGTGTACACTTTTCCCCCCAGGGAACGCTTGCCACAGTTGCTTGCCTGTACTAGTGTCTATCTCCATCTCAGTTACACCTGCTGTGATTTCAGCAATATGTGAACTAAGGAAATTTAAGTGCAGAAGTGCAGTGTTAAGAACACTATTAATGTTTTGAGAAGACTCGAAAGTCACCTCTAAAAAATAATTAAAATTAGGGATGGGCAAGTAAACTTATTTAAAGAATATAGGAAAAAAATCCTGAAAAACTCCCTAAGGAATTCTAACAATTTTAGGTTCTTTTACTTAAATACAAATTGGAAACTGAAAATGATGGATGGTTTATATAGGATTCCAAAGAGCCAGCATAGTCCTACATCAAAATGGTGAATGCTTCCTTAGTTGCTAAACATATTAAGTAATTAAATGGTGAATGAGTGTGCATTGCTGTGTTTTAAGTTTAAATAATATGTCATCTTTTAAGGATTCTGCACCTTAACTTGACATTTTCTGATTACACATTACATACACGTTATTATCCCAGGAAGAACTTACGACAGCACATTTCCTGGAATTGATCAACTAATAGTTCCCATCATGTCAGACAAAAGGGGGCTGCTACTGTATATTTCCCTACCCCTGTGCGACCCAGTGAGCACTGGACCATTCAATCCCCAGTGGCACATACACTACAGAAATCGTGATAACCTTCTCATATTAAGTGTAGGAATTTTTTTAAAACCCAGACAAGAGCATTCAATAGCCATATATCACTTACCCACTTTGTGAAAAAGAATGAGGTAACTGAAAATATTAACAACAAGTAGTTGAATGGTTTATAATATATATTTATATGTACAAACATTTTAAGTTAAAAATTACATATAAACCTTCACTGTAGAATCCCATGATGCAGAATATAGCCTGTTGTCATGCCAACATATCTTGCTGACAGCATCATCATGTCCCATTAATGTGCCTTGGCGTCTTCCAAATGCTATGGAATAAAAATAGCTAAAAGATAATGAGAAGTATTAAACCAGTACTCCAGCATAATTTTAAGACCCTAAGCCCATATTTAAGAATATTATATTGTTTAATTCTATACTTACTAAGGTCCACTAGGATTAAAAATTGCTTATTCTCATATTAAACCAAAATATTCAAAATCTCATTTAAAAGTAGAAATTTCTGCTCATCTGTGTCTCAATTTAAAACCTAAGAGAAAGATAGATTCCATCTAGAGAAATTACTGGATTCTAACAATTGTATTTAACTCCGACAACACTGTCCCCATCTCCAGCATCTGTTCCCTTCAGGGAACAGTGCAGCCTCCTGCCAGGGGATGGAGTCTGTCTTTTCACACCTCAGATCTGCAGAGACAGCTATTCTGCACGAAGAATCACAAAGGAAGTACGCAGATACATACACATTATTATCCCAGGAAGAACTTACGACAGTGGCATCTCCTGGTAAAAGTAAACAAGATGATAAAGCCTGAAATACAAATGCATTGACATTAACAATTTATAATATTGTAATCCCTAACATGGTTCAGTTAAGTTCTCCTAAAACTTAATGCTCAAATTTTCTTTATGGCAGCTTTCCTCAGATTTATCCAGGTTTTCTCAACTGGCTAATTCTGGCTACAGAATTTCCTCCAGAATGTCAGAAGGAATGTCCAAGTGAGTCAGTGCACACAACCTTACTTAATGACTCTCAGAGGTTCTGGCGGCCTCACTGCCCTCGGTGGAGGAATCTTAATTAACTCTTGAGTCTTAAATTGCAGGGCAGCTGGGTTGGGGCCAACCCTCGAATATGCAAGTGCCCTCTCTGGATTGCTGTCTTGCATGGGTAAAGGAACTTTTGGATGACTTACATAAAAACAACATGTACTCTTTCAGAAGAACTGGTTTTGTCACATTAGGTCAAGTTATTTAAGAAGTGCATAAACATTTAGTCCAATAGTTTTTTTTTTTTAAAGGAAAGATTTATGAAGAATTCTACTGGGTAGCTCTTTAAGTACTTTTGTTTCTTTATTTTGTTTTCCTTCTGTTGAATTTGTTTTTAACTGAGGTATGGGACAAGGGGTGGGAAACGTCACTGTATGGTATAACCATCCCTCATAGGGAATGTCCATTCTAATCTTCCTGGGGAGCTTTTTTAAATTTTATTTTATTATTATTAAATCATCACTGTGTACATTAATGCAGTCATGGGGTACAGTGTACTGGTTTTATATACAATTTCAAATATTTTCATCAAACTGGTTGACATAGCCTTCATGGCATTTTCTTAGTTATTGTGTTAAGACATTTATATTCTATATTTAGAAAGATTCACATGTACCATTTCCTGGGGAGCTTTGTGGAACTTTTTCTTCTTCTTGGGGTAAGTGTGTTTAACAAAAAATGAAATTGGCTCAATACCCATTGCACAGTGGTTATGGTGCCAGCCACATACACTGAAGGTGGCAGGTTTGAACCCAGCCTGGGCCAGTTAAACAACAATGACAACTGCAAGAAAAAGTAGCCAGACATTTTGGCGGGCTCCTGTAGTCCCAGCTACTTGGGAGGCTGAGGCAAGAGAATCGCTTAAGCCCAAGAGTTTGAGGTTGCTGGGAGCTGTGATGCCACAGGACTCTATGGAGGAGGGCGACATAGTGAGACTGTCTCAATTAAAAAAAAAAGCAAAAATGAAATCACAACGGTATGAGAAACAAACAACCTAAAAAAATTTTTTTTAATTAAATTTAGAAGTAATCTAACTAATTAAAGTCTGATGCAATATATACAGGAATAAATTCAATTTTAGGGAGAAATGAAATATGATTATATACAGGGTGTCCATAAAGCTTGTGTGCACTCAAGCTTTATGGACACCCTGTATCTGTGTATAAAGCAAAACACTACATGAATTTCTATCATAATACTACTAATAAAGTGAACTCACCATATTTGAAAATGATATACTTCTTTGTAGCATTTTAGATTCTTTAGAAAACATCTTCAAGGTAGAATCTAATTTAGTAATGAGAAAACAGACATATAAGAAAAGATTTCAAACATGCCCTCTTTTTCCTGAAGGCCAACAGACATAATTCTGTGGAAAACTGGGTGTATGTGGGGCTAAATAATCTAAGGCCTCCCCCAACATTTAAATTCTATGATCTGAAACTCCTTGACAAAGAAATCAATTTATAATCCAGCACAGGGCTTGGCGCCTATAGCTCAACCGGCTAAGGCGCCAGCCACGTACACCTAAGGTGGCGGGTTCGAATCCCCAGCCCGGACCCGCCAAACAA